TGGTTGGGTTCGTACAGACTAAAATTAAATGAGGAAAAAACACAAGTAATGTTGATTGGAACTAAACAACAGCTCTCGAAAACTGATGTAAAGAGCATAAGATTTGGGTCTGTGATGGTGTGGTGAAAAATTTGGGTTTCTGGTTGGACAGTACACTGAATATGCATCAGCATGTGAATAACCTCGTTAGGGACTGTTCATTTCAGCTTCGACAGCTTGGCCGCATAAGAGCCTCTCTTGATCTGGATACGACAAAATCTCTGATCCATGCGTTTGTGGTCAGTCGGGTTGATTATTGCAACAGTTTGCTGAGCGGATGTCCGAAGTCAACAATATATGGGATAAAATCAATACAAAACAGGGCAGCGAAGCTTATAGTACAAGGAAAAAAATATGACCATGTGACCCCAATTTTTTGTGAATTACATTGGCTGCCAATTGAAAGCAGAATCGTTTTCAAAGTTTTGGTGATGATGAAACGATGTATGCAAGGTTCGGCTCCGAAATATCTAATGGATCTGTGCAAAAAAACACCAATAACAGTGGCGGGTAGATTCTTAAGATCTTCCAAAAACAATGATTTTCAGAAACCGTTGGTAAACTCATCAATGGCGTCAAGAAGTTTTGCAGTGTATGGCCCAGGGATGTGGAATGATTTGCCAACAGAGCTGAAAACAAATGAGATTGATGAAGTGATTTTTAGAAAAAGAATCAAAGCGCACTTGTGGGATAAAGCGTTTGTGAGAACTTGAACGAGCGCTATATAAACTCTACATATATATTCAACAGTAACTACGCTGTAGAACACAAAAAGGAACAACAACAGCATCAACAAAAAAACAACATCAACAACATCAACAAGGACAACAGCATCAACAAAAAACAACATCAACAACATCTACAAGGACAACAACATCAACAAAAAACAACATCAGCAACAAGGACAGCAGCAGCAGAAGCAGCAGCGTACCACTCCCTTCCTAAGCAACTCCATGACGACACTCCTGAGTCCCAGAGCCAACTTTTCCTCGCTGTCGGACAGCAGGACGTTGTTGATGGCGTACTTCAGGAGATCAACTGCCCCCTCGCAGCAGTTCATGGACAGCAACTCCAGGACGCAGTTCATGGTGTCGTGGTAGTCGAACGTGCGTTGTCGGGTGGCGAACCTGTTGACGTGCATCTGCTGGCGTCGTTGGAACTGTTGCTCGCGCAGCTGCTCCGACGGGTTGACTATCTCCAAGACCTGCTCAATTCAATTACATGCTTGCTTGGCTAGATTGATATTAAGTGCTTTACATAAATAAATGCCAAACGCATATATCAATACAAAAACACACACGCACACTCTCTCTCTTTCTCTCTCTCTCTCACACACGCCTAACCTGGCTGATGCTGGAAGCATGGCCTCCCTGAACCAGACCAATGACTACTTCGAAGGCATTCCTCAGAGGAATCTTGAGGTTCTTGTTGGTCAGTTCCCTCATGACCTTACATTTAACATGACCTCACATTTAAAATGACCTCACATTTAAATTGACCTTACATTTAAATTGACCTCACATCTAAAATGACCTCACATTCAAACATTTAAAATGACCTTACATCTAAATTGACCTTACATTTAAATTGACCTCACATCTAAAATGACCTCACATTCAAACATTTAAAATGACCTTACATCTAAATTGACCTTACATCTAAAATGACCTCAAATTTAGAATGACCTCATATTTAAAATGACCTTGGCAACATTGAGATGACGTTCGACTTATTTCAACTGTACTAATAGATAATGCATCATTGCTACAGCATTGGCGAATCACGCAAAGTAAAAACATCACAAATTACCACATGATGATAACATTATGACATCATAAGTTAATGTTATAATGAACAAGACGTCATCACAGCATGACAGCAACACACACACACACGCACGCACACGCACATACAAACGAACACACACATGCAAACGAACACACACATACACAAAAACACACACACGCACACACAAACAAATGAACACACACATATACACACAAACACACACACACACATGCACATTTACCTCTTTAATGGAGTCAATATCATTCTTCTCAGCGTGGCATACCAGCATTGTGGTGTAGGTGTCTGCTGTTGGCCTCAGTCCATGCTGACTGGGTGACGATGCATGGATGGATGGATGGACGGATGAATGGATGGATGAATTGATAGATAGATGGATTGATTGATTGACGGATGAATGGAGATAGAAAAGAAATGAAAAAATAATTGCATTGATTGGTTGAAAACAATGAAAGGTGGATAAGAATCGGAAGTGTAAAAGAATTGGATGAATAAAGAATAGGATGAATAAAGGATTGGATAAAAAAATGAATGGAATCAATCAATCAATCGATCAACCAATCAATCAATCAACCAATCAATCAATCAATCAATCAGCCAATCAACTTACAACATTCCTTTGATGATATCCTTAGCCCCTGACACATTTCTATGAGAACCAAATGAAAATATGTATTACTACGAACACCTTATTCATATATTTATTAATTTATAAGTACCCCTCACAATATTAATTATGAATATCAAATTATGAATATTTAATTATGAATATTTAATTATGAATATCTAATTATGAATATTAAATTATGAATATGTAACGATAAAAAACATTACAAACAAACATAACAATAACGACGACAACAACAAAATGATGGTGATGATGATATTGATAAGGATGTGATGATGATGATGACTGACTGACCCATTCTTCATGTAGCCCCGGATGAGTGCATGGATGGTGGAAATGCTGATTGACCAGTCTTGTGACTTCATGTAATTCAGTAGGTCACTGACGGTGATGACGACCGCAAATATGATGAGGGGGTTATGACGACCGCAAATATGATGAGGGAGTTATGACGACGGTGATGATGACAACGATGATGATAATGCTGATGGTGGTGGTGATGATGGTGGGGATGGTGGTGACGATGATGGTGATGATGATGACGATGATGGTGATGATGATGACGATGATGACGATGATGGTGATGATGATGATGATGACGATGATGAAGATAATTATGAATACAGTAACGATGGTGGTGGTGATGATGATGGTGGTGATGAATGTGGTGATGAAGAATATGGAATATGATGACAGAGAGGGTTATAACAGTGTTGTTGTTGTTGACGATGAGGATGATGATGACAAAGTGATTAGAGAGTGACATTAGGATGAATAATAAAAAATAATAAAACACATTATACTATCAATAATAATAATAATAATAATAATAATAATAATAATAATAATAATAATAATGATGATGATGATGATGATACAAACAACAACAGAAACACACACACAACAGCGTATATACGTAAATAAATATATATATATATATATATATATCATAGAGACGATAAACCAATACAAAAATGAACAAAACATCCAAACATACACAGCTTTGTCAGTCTGCCCTAGTTCACAGTACTGTTTCAACAGCAAATGGAAGGTCTCCTGTACATTTGCGTGTTATGTGCCATGTTGTTCCCTCGCATAAGATTGTATTACGTTCACACACGTGTTCATGTTGTGTTGCTCATTCATATAAATTTGTTTCACATTCACACATGTGTTTTTAGCATGAACAAACAAATTTATGCGCCCGCCGGTAATGCAAAAACATCGAAGGTTAATTCAATTTTCATCACATGTTTATTAGGTAGGTGTTTGTTTTTGTGTGATTTGTTTCCAATTTATTGAGTGTACACAATCCTCACATTCTTCAAACTGATCTGACCTTGTTTGGTGTGATGTTTAGTTCCTCGAATTCCTTCAACACTTCGGCGGGTTCAAAAGTCATCTTGTTATCCAGCTTCACTGATAGCAGAGCATTTTTCATCTCCACTGTCACCTCTGGACCTAGTGCGGCCATTGTATAATATGTCAATCATTCTCTCCATCATCTCATTCATCATTGTCATCATGCACATCATCATTAGTACTATTGTTATCATTATAAATCATCTTTCAGCAACAAAAAAAACCACCATAAATAACTTTTCAATCGTTACAATCAATATAGATGATTCACTTTGGTGGTGGCCAAGACCATCACAGAGCCACATTCAAAAGCAAGCAGCCAACAAGCAACACACACACACACACACACACACACACACACATACACACACACGCATACACACACATACACATACACACAGAGAGAGAGAGACTCACAACACTTGTGGACGACCTGCCAGACTTGTTCTGACAGTAGCTGTCGATCAGCCGATGACTCCCTCACCAGCAA